ATGTCTCCTCAGTGGAAACTGCCAACTATGCTTAACAAATAAAGCAGGCCCCATTCCTACCCATTGCCTTCTCTTCAACAAGGGATTTATGTCAATAGAGCATGCTCACCTCCCTCAGCTATGTTGCCCCAGCCAGTGACCCAACACTGGGTGCTGTTTTGGAAGGAACTGATATTGCTTGCCAGACAGATGGGCTGGATGTAGGCAGTAAAGGAAACAGGCTTGTTTAGTCTAAGTAGGGCGACGTCTTTGTCGAAATTGGAATACCCGGGGTGCGGGATGACCATTGTGACCATTCTGGACACTTCATGAGTGTTTGATCCAAGTTGTGATTGCCTGCCCAGATACACTGTCAGCTGACGTCCGTCAGAGATCCTGGAGAGAGCGAGAGGTCATTAGTACAACTCTGTCTAAAGTAACTCAAATACACTTATCCTCAATTATATCTCTTCAGATCAATATACTTCCACCTCCAGATCACACTTTAACTCCAACCGTCAAAAGACAAAGTTTGGAACAAAGTTTAATTGGTTTATTTACCCATTGACACAGTGTGCAGCTGTCAGCACCCACTGGTGGTTGATCAGGGACCCTCCACATATGTGTTGGCCATAATGATGTAGGCTGGCCTGCCAGGGCCAGTACCCCTCTGGGGCGGAGTCACCCCCCACAATCCTGGGACTGAGGGGCGCCTTTCCACACTCTGGAGGAACAGGCCAAAGAAGATATATAGGAAGAAATGAACTTTGAAAGATCTGAATAAAAATCATACTTCTCTTTTTCCTTAATTTACTTACCACTTGGCGTAACTGGAGTTGTGCCCAGTGCGCTACAAGTAAAATTGCTATCAGTGTCGGTGCCATTTGAAGTGAAGGTAAGCAGTCCTGGAGTGGCTGACCAAACCAGCTCATTAATCCAGTCTTGGTACTGGGACACCCTGGTATACACACCAGGGAGACTGGAAGGAGTACAGCCATCTCTGTATTTCACAACACCAGCCTGAATCCAGGCAGAGCCCTGTTTGCAGACTAGGGGACCTCCTGAGTCTCCCTGGAGAGAGAGGAGAGGTGTGGTGGTTAATACAGACACTTACTGTACACTACAGTACATTAACAATGCACTGAGAGAGGGGGGTTCCAGACACTGATACAGACAACATGATAAAGGATTTTCAGTCTGTTTCCTTATTACCTTATTGTCCTGATTCCAAGTGAGAGTGAGATGTAGCCATCCATTACATTATTAACGGTCATTGCAACCCTATGTGTTTTCCAGAAACATTCCAGAAGGCAGTCCATGTGTGCACCAGACATGCTCAGAGAGACAATTTAACCAGTTAACACTTAACCTAGCTTACATATTTTTGGAAGTTGTCAGGAAAGTAGAGCATCTGGCAAGCACCCAGGTGAACTTAAGGAGAACATTCACGCTCATCATAGAGGGTAAACCATTTCAAAATTGATCTGACGATATGAGATATGAGGCACTAAGCGGTCGAAGAGAAGGAGAGTTGAGGAGACAAATAGAAGAAAAGGAAATGTGTGTACCAGACATGTGGCATTCCCCCCATCCGGTACTCCTGCACAGATCATGTTTTCAGTGATACTGTTCACTCCAAAGGCCTCAGCATACAGACACCCACACTGCCTGTTTCCCATGATGGGCACCTGGGCCTCCTGTAGAATCTGGGCATAAAAACCTGAAAGACAAGACAAGTCAAGTCATCGTCAGCTTTCTCTCTCTGCCGTGATCCCAGTTTATGGCTCAAATTAGTCGTTGAGTCATTGCTTACCTCCCAGGTAAGCAAACATCTCCGGGACTGGCAAGATAGCGACGGTTTACAGAAAGCTCTCTTGTTGTGTGATTGTTTTAATGTTTATTTATACGTTAATACTCTTGTTTTGTGTTGGACGCTCAATATCTCTCATTACTTATGACAGACAAACGCTTTTAAACCTGAGGACAGACTCCTTAGGGTTGTCAAACAATTTTTTGCACGTACCGGACCCAACCTGCTGGATCGGACAAAGATGCGGCGAACAACAACAACAGGTGGGAGACGAGGCAGCGTACTAGTGCGACTACGAAGGCGTCCGCACAGACCACCGCTGCCGTCTATTTTGTTAGCTAATGTTCAGTCACTGGACAATAAGATAGATGAGCTACATTGCCGGATCAACGCGGAATAAGACCTGAGGGTTACGCTTTCACTGAAACCTGGCTGAATGCATGTGTCCCAGACACCGCCATTCAGCCAAAGGGGTTCACCATTTATCGGATGGACAGAAGCCACCAAGCAACTGGCAAACACAAAGGAGGAGGCGTTTGCTTCCTGGTCAACAGCAAATGGTGTACCAACATGAAGGTAATCTCTAAATCCTGGGAGTTTTCCGCCACTGTTATCACAGCCGTTTATATTCAACCTCAAGCCTGCGAGGAAGCAGCACACAGCGAGCTCCACGACATAATCAGCAAGCACGAAAACTACCACCCGGAAGCCGTCTCAGTTGGATTCAGGGACTTCAACCACTGCAATCTGAGGAAAGTAGTGCAAAAATACATTCAGCATGTCACTGTACCAACAAGAGGAGGCAATATTTTGGACCACTGCTACACAAGAATAAAAGGAGCATACAAAGCACTTCCCAAACCGAGTTTCGGTTAGTCGGATCACATCGCTCTCCTGTTGCTTCCTGGATACAAACAGAAGCTGAAGCATTGTGAAGAGGTCAGTGCGTTGTTGGTCTGAGGAGGCGGAAAGCAGGTTAATAGACTGCTTTGATAATACAGACTGGGACGCATTCAGAGCTCCCAACACAGATTTAAATGAGTATACGGATGCGGTCACCAGCTATATTAAATACTGCACTGATATTTGTGTACCAGAAAAGAAAATTGGGTCATTTCCTAATTAGAAACCGTTCGCAATAAAATAAAACCGTTCGCAACAATGACATTCGCAATAAAATAAAAGATAGATCCACCGCATTCAAATTGGGGGACAATGAGCTGTACAGGAAATCACGGTATGCATTAGAAGAAGCCATAAAACGCGCCAAACGGAGCTACAGAGTGCTGCTTGAAACGCAGTGCGCTGACACCTGGAGGCTATGGCAGTGATTGCAGTCAATCACAGGCTACAAGGGCTGCAACCAGGAGATTGACACAAACAACACATCCCTGCCGTACGAGCTGAAGCATTTCTATGCCCGCTTTGATGCTCTGAACACGGGCACTGCTGAGAAGACCCCAAGTGTGCAGGGTCAGTTTGTTCTCAAATGTCAGAGCAGGATGTACAGAAGACTCTGAGCAGGGTGAAAATCCATAAGGCTGCAGGGCCTGATGGAATACCAACCCGCGTCCTGAGGACATGTGCAGCCCAGCTGACCACAGTGTTTACGGGCATCTTTAACTCCTTCCTGTCACAGTCCATGGTCCCAACCAGTTTTAAAAAAAACACTATTGTTCCACTCCCCAAAAAGGCAAAAGTGACGTGCCTGAACGTTTACCGCCCAGTAGCATTAACATCTGTGGTGATGAAATGCCTGGAGAAGCTGGTGTTGTCACACATCAACTCCTCCATCACAGAGTCCCTGGACCCCCTGCAGTTCGCCTACCAGAACAACAGATCAGTGGTTGATGCTGTCTCCCTGGCTCTACATACAGCCTTGGAACACCTGGACACTAAGAACTCGTATGTGAGACTGCTGTTTGTGGACTACAGTTCAGCATTCAATTCCATCATACCCAGTCAACTGGTGACAAGGCTCAGGGGATTAGGTCTGTGCAACTCTGCAACTATCTCCTGGACTTTCTTATCGAGAGACCACAGGTGGTGCGGATAGGCAATAAAACATCAACACCACTCACCCTGAGCACTGGAACCCCACAAGGCTGCTGAGCCCAAGGTTCTACTCCCTGTTCACTCACGACTGCACAGCAAGACACAGCGACAACCGCATCATTAAGTTTGCAGATGACACCACTACAATAGGCCTGACCCACCCCAACAGGTCCCTACCACAGGGAGCACTGCTAGCACTAAGCTAGCAGTTACAGAGCTGTCCTTTACTTACAGGAGACCATTACCTAAGTTTATCTTTGTAAATATACCACAGGATGTTGACATATTAGCCATGATGTGGGGTAGAGAGGGGTGGTTTGAAAATTATTTCCCTGTGCTTCACTACATTGGACCATGGGAATACTGTGACAAATGGATGTTTATTATGAATATTTACTGCAGGGTGTCTGTATGGTTCACAGAAGTAAATTGTAGTGAAGGTGTGTTGAAGCTTCACAATAATTACAACAATAAAAAATGTAAAGACCATAATAAAACTATTTAAAAAGCCTTCCTGTCATTGTCAAACCTGCTCACACTAAAGGTCTCTGCATTTCACCAGGAGCCCTAATCCCACAGGTGGATTCCCTGATCAGCAATTGACCACCTGATGTAGAAGAAGATCCCACCTGCTCACATTCAGCTCAGGGCTAGTTACAATAATCTCATGCTGTGGCAGCTATAGTTATCCTTTGCTTGTCTTGGCATCCTCTTGTTATTCACCTCTATGCTTTGACAATGTTTGCTTGACTTACACATTTCTGTATCTCCCTGCTCTGTGGTGTTTACCTTGTGTGGACTTTCTGGTTTCTGCCTGTGATTCTCCCTGCGGTTCTTTTGCTTCTGTCCTCTGGTCTCGGACTTGCTTTCCCTGCCTTCTCATTATGACTCTGGACCATGTTTTACTTTCACCTGCTTTGCACTTCTCGCCTGACTGACCGCTTACCCTTGTCTGAATCTGGATCCATCCTCAAGCCTCCGATCGCTTCTTATTGTAAGAACTGCTTCCCACTCATTAGGGAACAGTTCTTTGAAATGACCTAGTATTGTTTAATATCTTAAGACATTAATATGAAAGTGTTGTTTATATTATATTTGTAAGTTCTGGGAATTAATATGAACTTGCCATTTCTACAAAGAAGAACATCTGCTTTGTATACGTTAGCAGCCATAGACAGCTGTTTCCATATTATTATTGGTCATCAGGGCAGTATAGTCTTTGACCTGTGAAGCAACTCATATGTGCATCTTACACTGAACAACCTTCAATATTTCAGTTTTTGAACAGTAAAGTCGCTATGAATTGTTTTTTAAATATTAAGGATACTCACTATAGTCATCTGTGTTGCCCCAGCCAGTGACCCAACAGCTGGTACCAGTGCTGAAAGAGCTGCTCTTGTCAGCCAAACAGATGGGCTGGATGTAGTTGGTGAAGTTGACAGGGGTTTGCAGTCTCAGCAGGGCGATGTCATTCGTGAAGGTCGTAGAGTTGAAGTCAGGGTGCAGAATGACCCGTGTGACCTTCCTAGACACTTCGCTGGGGTTAGAATTCATCTGGTTCTGCCTGCCCAGATAAACTGTCAACTGTCTGTTATCACTGATCCTGAGAGAGGGAGAGATCATTATCACTGTTATGTCTAAACTACACTCTGTTACTCAGATATACTTTCAGAAGACTGGAGTGAAAGTAGCTAAAAAGAAAATAGCTGTAGAATAGAGGTCCTTAGATACAGCCCTGGATAGCATTAATCCATCACATTTTGTAAACATCATTTAATCAAAACCAAGAAAAAGGTTAAACGGATCCAGTTACCTGTAGACGCAGCCTGCAGCAGACAGCACCCACTGATGGTTGATCAGAGACCCACCGCACATATAGTACCCAGAGTAATGCAGACTGGCCTGCCAGGGCCAGTACCCCTCCTGGGCAGATTGGCCCCCTGCAATTCTGGTACGGAGAGGTGCCCGCCCACACTCTGGATTGACAGCAGGGAGACAGAGGAAGATGGGAAGGATGATCTATTGAAAGGCTGTATGATAGTAAACTTCTCTGCTTCCTGATGATTGAGGTAAAATATCACTTACCGCTTGAAGATATTGGGGTACTGCTTGGGGGACTGCAAGTGAAGTTCCTCTCAGGATCTGAGCCATTGGAACTGAAGGTGACAAAGCCTGGAGTGGCCATCCCAACCATCTGATAAATCCAGTCTTCATACTGGGACACCCTGGTATACAATCCAGGAAGGCCAGTCTGGCCACAGCCCTCTCCTGGCCTCACAATACCAGCCTGCACCCAGGAAGAGCCCTGCTTACAGATCAGGGGTCCCCCTTCATCTCCCTGGAGGCAAGGATAGTGAGGTAGGTGGTAAATACACACTGACTGACTGGACCTACAGCACATTAACACTGCACTGTGAGAGTGGGGTTAATACAGACACACTGACTGGACACTCCAGTACATTAACACTGCACTGAGAGAGAGGGGTTAATACAGACACATTGACTGGACACTACAGTACATTAACACTGCACTGAGAGAGAGAAAAACATCTAAAAAGCATTTCTTGACAATGTTCTGAATTTAGCAAAAATGAACAGGACAATACAAGCGGAAGAAGGAGTGTCTGTACCCTGCAGGTATCCTTGCTTCCATTCGGCTGTCCAGCACAGATCATGCTGTCATTGACCGAGCCTGGTCCGTAGTTCAAATCATAAAGACACCCACACTGCCTGTTCCCAATGATGGGCAGCTGCACCTCCTGCAGGGTCTGGTTCCCTGGGAGAGACACTGGAAAAGAGGTTGACAGATTTTGTACCCAGTTGGTGGCTGAAATCCAGAATGATGGTTTGGTACCGTTTATAGCAGGATATCATAGTCATCGCCACTATACTCACCCTATCATTGTCCACCCACTAAGAACATTGTTGTCAGTGACCCCAAACGTATGTGAAGAGGTTGGACCAAAGGGATATTACCATGATGCGCGGGGTATGTAAAAGATATATTTCGGAGAAAGTGTTGCAGTAGTGAGGATAGGAGATCTTTCCTCACTAGCGGACCCCAATTCTTCCTCTTCCATCTATGATCACACTGAACTTTCTCTCGTGTCCTTTCACAGGATTCAAAAATACCATAGAAGACTCAAATCTGGTTCCCAATCTCCAAGTACCCAACAATCAATTTATCTCTTACTAATCTCTCAAATCATCTGAAAATCTCTGCCTTCCACGGTTCCCCTGGGAATCCATTTCTGACTTACATCTCTTTTGTCCACTTTTCACATCCCCAGTCTCACATTCACTTTTATTTCTCCCTGCCTCACCCCATGTTTATTTGTCCAATACTCCTACTCTCTGCCCCCTATACACATGACGAGACTACTCAACCAAAGTGCTGATTTTTCTTTTTCCCTTTCATTGCGGAATTACAGGTTGATTCTAATTGTTCCTTTGCAGTTTGCAAGCTGTCACAGCTCCCTGCACAAGCCTCTGCAGTGTGTGTGACTGATTAGAGGGGATAAACTCACTGAATTCAGATGTGAAACCCCAGCCAGCGACCCAGCAGCTGGTCCCAGTGTAGAAAGAGCTGCTGTTGGCTGCCAGACAGATGGGCTGGATGTAGTTGGTGAAGGTGACAGGACTGCGCAGTTCAAGCAGTGCGATGTCGTTGTTTGAACTGGAATAGCCAGGGTGCAGAATCACTTGCTTAACCTTCTTGGATAATTCCTGGGGGTTGGGGCCCGCCTGTGTCTGTCTGCCCAGGTACACCTTCAGCTCACTTGTCCTGGAAAGAGAAAAAGGTAATCCGTATTGCTCTGTTTCTCCAGCACTGTATGCAGTGTTCCTCAGTTACAGTGCGGTACTACAGTGTGATGAACCCACATGAAGATCCTTAGGGGTTGCAGTCGGACTTACCAGGCTGAGTAGACACAGGTTGCAGCCGTCAGCACCCACTGCTGGTTGATCAGGGATCCTCCACATCTGTAATACCCAAAGTAATATATGCTGACCTGCCAGGGCCAGTACCCCTCTGGGGCAGAGACACCCCCCACAATCCTGGTACTGAGAGGGGCTTTTCCACACTCTGGAAGCAGAGGACAGATAGATAAATATAACTTAAGTACTTACATGAAAATAAGTACATTACATTTGATTTAACCATTCTATCACTTACCACTGGGGGCTACTGGAGTAATTTTGAATGGAGAGCAGGTGAAGTTCTTGTCAGGGTCTGTGCTGTTGGAGCTGAAGGTCACAAAGCCCGGAGTGGCCAATCCCACCTGAGTGTTAATCCAATCTTTGTACTGGGACACTCTGGTGTACACACCGGGGAAATTGGGCTGGGCACAACCCTCTCCGAAACTCACAACACCAGCCTGAACCCAGGAAGGGCCCTGCTTACAGACCAGGGGACCCCCTGAGTCTCCCTGCAGAGAGACAAATGCGAGGACCCAAGTTATTATTTGAACAAAATAATATTTTTTTTGTAGACTGAAACATATTTTACTCAGCAGTAGGTGTGCAAAAGATGGAGAAAGAGAATTGCAAGGGCACCCAAGAGACTTTGTCAGATTCGTCAACTCTTAGCACACTGACTGAGAGGGAGAGGGACAGCAACAAAACCATAAGAAGTGTCTTAACCTGGCAGGAGTCCTTGCCCCCCTGCAGCACTCCAGCACAGAGCATGTTGCCAGTGACACTGTTCGCTCCAAAGACCACATCGTTCAGACACCCACACTGCCTGTTCCCAATGATGGGCAGCTGGACCTCCTGCAGGGTCGTGGGTAGAGTAGCTCCTGAAAGACAGGACAGATCATTAAGTGTCAGGAAGTTACATCTGCATCCGGGAAGCATGATTTCATTGACTGACTCTAGACAGCTATATCACCCTGCAACTCACTACAGCCAACTCACTGAAGCTCAGCAGTGTGAGCCTGGCCAGTACCTGGATGGGAGACTCCTGAGAAAGTTAGGGTTGCTGTCAGAAGAGGTGTTAGTGAGACCACTAGGGGACGCTCACCCTGCGGTGTGTGGGTGGGTCCTGAAGTATGGTGAAGGTAATATACTGTAAAAAAAGTGTTGTTCTTCAGGTGAGACATAAAACCAAGTTCCATCATTAAAAATCCCACAGTGTTTTCTCAAAAACATTTGGGGTGTTGTCCTGCTGCCCTGGGGCGGGGGCTTGGGCTGGCCAGCGCGAGGTCCCCCCAAAGCATGGGGCCCTGGGTGGCCACCCCCTTTGCCCCCCCTTGAGCAGGCCCTGGGGCCACATATTGGTGGTGGATGTTAGTCCTCATCACCTGAAAAGTGGTGTGAATGGAGTCTCGAGGCTTAATTATTATTAGTTTAATGTATAATTCAAAAAGTTATATTTAGACGTACATATAAAAAGGATTTGATACCATTTAATCATTTAAACCTTGTGTTCAACATAAAAAATAATTTTCTTTGTACAATTTTGTTTTTCCAGAAACTTTATATGGATTGTGTAAATTGTAATTAAAACAAGCATGTCAAAACTTTCCCAGAATAATTACATAATAAGTGATCTAGTTAAAGACCTGGATGCAGAGAATGTTAATGAAGGTGTACCTTATTTTTAGCCACCATTCCCAGCAATATATGTATCTTATATTAATAGTCGTGAATAAACATAATTAATGAGGTTTAGAAATGTTAAAATAGATTATAATAACTTTATTGTATGTTATTATACTTTGGTTATTTTTATTTTTATCTTCTGCAATTTGCCTTTAGTTACATGATTCCATATTAATATTTCCTATTAAATGGATTTAAAGTACAGTAGAAAGACAAATAAAGTCGTCGGTTCATCAACATCTAATGCACCACATGTGCAACCTATCGATCTTCTTAAGGCAGTGAAAAGTTACATTCGGTGTACCGAATGATGCTGTGACCATGCTGTGGTGAGCTTGCCGTGGACAAGACCTTTGCCACACATTCTGAGCGGTTCCATGTGTATATATATGGTTGAAATTGAGTGGCCTGTGTTGGCACAGGGAGATGAGACTCATAGAACAGTCACGCCTATAAGCAGGAGTGTTTGAAGTGCGATGCCAATGAGATCCACTCACCATCCTCAGCTGTGTAGCCCCAACCAGTGACCCAGCAGCTGGTCCCATTGTAGAATGAGCTGCTGTTGTCGGCCAGACAGATGGGCTGGATGTAGCTGGTGAAGGAGACAGGGCTGCTCAGTCTCATCAGGGCGATGTCGTTGTCCTCGGTGACAGAGTTGTAGGCAGGATGCACAATGATCTGCTGGACCGACCTGGACAGTTCGTTGGGGCTGGAGCTAAACTGTGTCAGCCGGCCCAGGTACACTGTCCACGGATAGGTGTTCAGGGGGCTGGAGAGAGAACGAGGACATAAGTTCCTCAATGTCTAAAGTCTGTCATGCTGTCTGATCGTCAACATTTCTGTGTTTTAATCGGTCGATGGCAGTATTCTATCTGGACCAATCGTGGCTCTTGGCTCAGTTTAGCTGGAGTGCTGTAAATATTGTGAGAGTGCACGGGTTTTAGACTGCGGCCAATTTTCTCATCTCCGGGGCCCTCTGGGGGCGACTAGTGGACTCAGGAAGTGAATTTTTCTCCTCCATGTCTCAAAATATACAGTAGATGCATTTTTTGTATACAGGCAATAGGAGCACACTGAGCGTGTCAGTCTGTTTTTACCCCTACCTCTGTGGGCAGAGGACTTGTCACTGTCAGGCGCTCAGTCTCCTGGTGCTGGAGAGTCTGTGCCAAATTTGGGGTCTGAGCAGTAAAAGCAGAAGAACGCTGACCTTCACTACCGTGGACTCAAGTTGGAGTTGTGTGGGAAACCAGATTTAAAGAAGTGCTTTAAAGTTTGAGCCATCTTTTGGCAGCATGTTTTTTAAAACAGTCATCACCATATTTACCTTACTATACTAATATTAGAAAACACAAAACCAAACAATTGCCTGTGAATCCCGTAATGACATTTGAGTTTTACTTTTCGAGGGGTTACGACCAGGCCGACAACAAGCTGCTCGCAGTTCAGAGACAGTGTTCCTGTTTCTCCTTACTCTGAGATGCAGTGTGCAGCCGTCAGGACCCACTGCTGGTTGATCAGGGATCCTCCACACATGTGTTGCCCATAGTAATGCAGGCTGGCCTGCCAGGGCCAGGACCCCTCCTGGGCAGGGTTCCCCCCTACGATCCTGGGATTGAGGGGCACCTTCCCACACTCTGGAGGAACAGGACAGAAAGAAAGACCTGATGAGTCCTAATGATACCAAAAAGAATTCATTCATCGAAGAATAAGGCAAACATTTTTTTAAAGTTGTATGTTATTTAACTTGTTGTTACTGCTTCTGTATTTTGTTTATGTTTTTTTTGGTGTTTCCTTAATGTCTCTGTATGGGAGCATACATGCAAATAAGCATCTCATTGCACATGTGGAGATGAAAATACTCTGAACTCAACTGAACATTTACCTACCATTTGGTGCTATGGGAGTTGGTGGAGGGGTCGGGTAAGTGATTGATGGAGTGACAGGAGTAGTCAGTGGTGCTCTTGTAGTAACTGTAGGACTACAGGTAAAGCTGCTGTCGGCGTCTGTGCCACTGGAGGTAAAGGTCACAAAACCTGTGTCTCCCGACCCCACTTGTCCGTTAATCCAGTCCTTGTACTGTGACACCCTGGTGTACACCCCTGGGAGACTGGGACGGGCACAGCCATAACCGAAACTCACAATACCAGCCTGAACCCAGGCAGAGCCCTGCTTGCAGACCAGGGGACCCCCTGAGTCTCCCTGCAGAGAGAGAGAGAAGACTGTTAGAACAGGAACTGACTGACGGACAGCTCATTACTGTCCACTAACTGAAGAAAAGACAAGATAGACACAATGTATGAGACAGTGTGGGTCTAGGACTGAGTTCATGGCCCCTAGTCTCCAACCAGACACTTTTCACATGGAGACAAGCACCTCCCAGGACTATTAGAACTCGATTGGGGCAGCTGTCCATGTCCTCACTTAATGGGTGATTACCTCAACACCTCCAGGATACTTAAGCCCTGTCCAAAGTCAGATGCTCTGTCATTGAGTTTCCTACTCGCTTATGGGAGTGCTCCTCACATAAACCAGCTTGCCAGTTAGACTTTGAGGAGTCTTCCTGAATCACTCTGACTCCCTGATTCCAATAATGAGATAAAACCTGTAGGTCATCCACATTTCCATCTGTCTTCTTGTTGCTACACATCCTTAGCAACCAATCAGATCAAGTAGGTGGTTCCGTCAGCATGTGTAGGCTGCAAAGGAACAAGTATAGTTGTATTCCATGCTGAAAAGAGAAGAGAAGAAACACAATGTTTTGGCTGTGGAGCCTTCTTCAGGTGACACACCTGTTACCTGAAGAAGTCTCCACAGTCGAAACGTTATGTTTCTTTCCTTCTCTTTTCAGCATGGAATAAACCTTTACTTGTACCTTTGCAACCCTTTCAGCCAGCATTCCCTGCTCTCACCTGTCAGCTTTGCTTCACTGAGTAAATTCCTAAGTCAGTCATACAGATGCGCCATTCTCCAGGTCAGTGCCATATGGCAACACATACGATGTAGACATACAAGGAAAGTTACCTGGCAGGAGTCTTTGCCTCCCTCCAGCACTCCCGCACAGATCATGTTGCCAGTGACACTGTTCGCTCCGAAGACCACATCATTCAGACACCCACACTGTCTGTTCCCAATGATGGGCAGTTGGACCTCCTGCAGGGTCGAGGGTAGAGTTGTCCCTGGAAGACAAGAGAGTTTGTTACTTCCATAAAGTGCCCACAAGCTGGAACTCATCTCTGGGAAGGACAACTGGAGCAGGATCTGCTGAGCCCTCATCTTCTAACCCTCCAGTGTCCCAGAAGATAAAGATCTTTACAGGAATTTGAAAATGTCGACCATATCAACCTTTACAAAGGTGTAAAAATCATGTACTCAAATGATCTGCAAATAGAGTGCAAGTGTTTATTTTCTGTGCTGATATTCCAGTAGGCCTTCTGGTGTGGTATATTATGTCAGTTCAGCTTGAAACCATCAGTTGAATTGGAAGAAAAGTTTTGGCAAAGGAGTGTGTTTCGTTGGGATACACTCACCACCTTCAACTGTGTCTCCCCAGCCAGTGACCCAGCAGCTGGTCCCATTGTAGAAGGAGCTGCTGGTATCAGCCAGACAGACGGGCTGGATGTAGTTGTTGAAGGAGACAGAACTGTTCAGTTTCATCAGGGCGATGTCATTGTTGTTGGTTGAAGAGTCATAGTTTGGATGCCTGATGATCTGCAGGACCTTGCTGGACACTGTGTTGGTGCTAGAGCCTGTGTCTGTCACTCCCAGATACACTGTCCACTGACTTGGAGTTATGGGGCTGGAGAGTGAAAGAGCAGAGAACTTGAGAATGGCACATATAGTTTCTGACTGACCAGTGTGAATACACAGTGCAGGAAGCATACAAAGAGAAATAGAGAATTTATCAATTCTAATCACGATTTACTCTGACACTGATGACTTTAAGAGCTCATCAGCATTCACAGTCATCACATTCTGCAGATCCTGTCAGCACTGTACATACTGAGAGAGGGGGTCCTGTTTCTCTCCTACCCTGAAAAGCAGTGTGCTGCAGTCAGCACCCACTCATTTAAAAGCCACTACAGTGCAGTATGTGTAAAATATATTTTCATAATCACAATTTAAAATAGTTGGTTCAAATTTTGGTGATGAAAAACCCCATCACCTCATGAGGGGCTAAAGCTTTCTTGCCGGGTAAAAAAATCGGTGAATCTCTAAGATGAAGATTATGGGTTTCCAGAAACGTCAACACTACTGTACATGAATTCACTGCTTCAGTTTTTATTTTCTCTCAGGGCAATACCAGCTTTAAAATATTTATTCCCTGCTCTGCCAGTCTGAGCACTTTCGTTAAAATCACAGCAGCTTTCTGTTAATTACAACCTTTGATGTGTCACTGTCACCCCCAATTACAGTTTCAGGGCCTTCACCCGAAAGCCATTCCACTGCCTGTGGAGATACTGCAGAGTTAAAGGTCCTTCTGCCTTACCTCCCGAAGCAGTGAGCAGCCGTCAGCACCCACTGGCTGTTGATGAGGGTCCCCCCACATGTGTGACCCCCATTCAGACGCAGACTGGCCTGCCAGGGCCAGGACCCCGGCTGGGCAGACTGGCCCCCAACGATCCTGGTGTTGAGGACAGCCTGTCCACAGACTGGAGCTTAGAGAGAAGAAGGAGCTCAGTTAGTGTGAGTGTTTCTTGCTGTTTCTTGCTTTAGTAAAGACTAAGCAATTGGCTGATTATTTTGATATTTCACTTCATTTTTTTGTATGATGGACATACATTCCTACCATTTTATCAAATCAGAATTGATCAGCTGGAGAGTATATTGGCTGCTCTGTGTGATGGGCCAACAAGCTGCCTATCTCCTGTCTCTCTCACTGTGTCTCCTATCCTGTTGTGTGTGTTTAATACTGAGGAATTCTCTGTGATCTCCTCTCTCTCAATGTGTTTCCTGTCCTGTTGTGTGTGTTTATTACTGAGAGATACTCAAGATTCATCTGTATTATTTTTAAGCGATGTTACTCCTTTTTTACAAACAATATTCTTACCAGTCTGGGCTTGTGATTCTGAAAGGGAAGAAAAAGAAAAGATTAATTAGAGAAATGATATCATATAATATTATATGTTTATGAAATTATTAATTTACAACAGAAGTGAAGGACTACAGAAGAGGTTATCGCAAGTGAAAGCTCTTGTCTGGAGCATAGTTGAGTCCTGTAGTTCAGACAGGATTAAGTCTGTAACTGTGATTTCCCAAGTAGTTTGATGGCTAATTGATGGACTGTAGTCAGCAAGGCTGGACACACTACATCAGCGCCTGTGTCTTTTTCCAAATATAAAAGACTCATCAAGCGATCGTGCAGTTATGCCATTGGATCAGCACTCACCCTGCGGTCCATTTGGGTCCTAATGCCCCAGTATAGTGACGGGGACACTATACTGTAAACAGGTGCCATCCTTCGGATGAGACATAAAACCGAGGTCCTGACTCTCTGCGGTCATTAAAAATCCTCTCATTACAAATTCTCAAAAAGAGTAGGGGTGTCACCCCGGTGTCCTGGCCAAATTTCCCCCTGGTCTTTACCCATCATGGCCTCCTAATAACCCCCATCTCTGAACTGGCTTCATCACTCTGCTCTCCTCCCCACTGAGAGCTGCTGTGTGGTGAGTGTTCTGGCGCACTATGGCTGCCGTCACATCATCAAGGTGGATGCTGCACATTGGTTGTTGTGGAGGGGAATCCCTATTAAAGTGCTTTGAGTGGAGCGTCCAGAAAAGCGATAAATAAGTGTAAGTAAGTATTATTATTATTCATTTAAAAAATACTTTTGGATTAAGATGAGATTTTATCTGCATTTACAAGACATGTAGATATGAAAGGAATCCAGATGCATGAATGAGGAAATGTTTCTGGGAATGAGGAAATGTTTCTCTGTGAAACTTGCACAGGAATGTCTTGCTGTCTCCTGGGTGAAATGGACATTTTTTAGACGAGAAGGAGGACGTTAATGTTGAACCAGTGTGTCAAGTTGTGAGCTCCTAACCTTTTCACCTCCACATTTTGTCCAGCTCTATAGACACCAGCAGGGTTTGTCTAGTTTGAACCCATGTCCCTGTTCCTTCTTCCTTCAATCAATCCATGCCTTTTCTTACCTTTTTATCCAATACAGGGTCACAGGGGAGCTGGAATCTATCCCAGCAAGCAGTGAGCACAAGACAGGGTACAGACAGAACACACACACACACACACATACACACACACACACACACACCAGGGTCAGTTTTTACTGACCTACCGGTATGTCTTTGGACTGTGGGAGGAAACAGGAGGCCCTGGACGAAACCCACGCAAGAACGACGAGAACATACAAACTCCACACAGACAGCCTCCCAGGAATTGAACCCAGGGCCCCAGCATTGAAAGACAGCAATGCTCATTACTGTGCCATAGTCCCATCTCTTCCCTATGTACAATTTCTTATTCCTCATTCCACTTTATCATTCCTTCTCCATATACTGGTGTTTTCCTAACCGCTATTATTTCTTTAGCTGTGCTCTTTACTCTCTGTTGTTCGGCAATCTTTATAATTTTAATACATCTTAGACTTGTTTTGGATTTTTTTTCCATTTTGTGAATGAACATAAAACTTCAGCTGGGGGCCAATAGGCGACGTGGCTCCTGAGAATCCTCGATAGCTGTTATACTGTCAGCTGGAGACACTTCAGCAGTGAATCAGCTGGAAGAAAGAGCACATCCTCCTTGTCTGTGGTTTGGAGAGGTTGTCAGTGTCTCCAGTGGGAGTGGAATCAGGAGTGACAGGGAAACGAGCCGAGATATGATCTCCCTGACGAGATTGAGAACAAGCCCGCACGTGTGATTATACATACTGATCATACATTACACATGTGATTATACTTGTGCAGGCCCGCATGCCTTTCTCCACATCAAATAAGGGAGAGATTGGTTCAAGGGGAGAAAGCAGGGTGGATTAAAACGTTAGGAGGAGGAAACTGCCAGAACAGATTTCAGCTGAGAGGCTGGGTGCCAAGATCCTCTCTTTCGCTGGTTGAAACGGCTCAGGACAGACTGACCAACCCTAACAGACAGACAGGTAGTTGAAACCTTTGTAGTTTGAAACGAAGTTGAAGTGAAATAAAATCCCAAACTTGTGACTAGAAATAATATGCAAATATTCCAATGAAGCAACTTCTTTGCTCAATTAAGGCTTCAATTATCTAATTAAAGGGGGGAAGAAAAGAAACCTAACAGGTGTGGGGGGGGGAGAGGCACCAGGACCAGAACTGCGAACCACTGGTCTATGGAAACCAGTTACAGTAATGATATTGAGATGTGATATATGTAGATATATACACATATAGATGTGGAGAATAATGTGTCCATAAATCAACTACACACAGTTGACTTATTTCTAAAGACTCTTGATATTATTTTCTAACTGCTTCTAACCACAGACAGGTGGAGCCACACTGAACCATACAAAGAACAGAAATTTTCAGTTTTCAAAAGGAACAAGGAAAAAGCGAACATCAAACATCAAATGTCACTAGAAAGTGGTTTCAGGTACCGGGCCCACCTCCAGCACAGGTACAGCCTGGATACAGCCTTGAATGAATCTCCTGCGCTGATGGGCCCAAGGAACTGAATCTCTTCAGTCCCGAACAAGATAACCCAACAACAGAACCCTCAGGCAGTGCCAATGATACTGCTGAAAGTGTTAGAATAAATCAGTTCATTCAATTTTCAAAGTACATTATGACATTTCTTCTTAGGTATTATTGTGGATTTTTTTACATTCTTTACCAGTGTTGTTGTAATTTTTAGTTATTTCATTGTACTTCGTAGTACTTGTTTCCTGTTTCTGTGTATAAGTAAAAGATGTGTTTCTGAGCACTGTCAGTCACTCTGGATTTGTTATCAAAAAAGAAAATTCTTCTTATTCTTCAGCCTTAGAAGTAACATCTGCATGACACCTCTTACCTGAAAAATGATTTCCGTGAATTCTAACGATACATGGTTAAACCAGGCTAAACCAGGAAAAAGAAATTCCAGCTGGGCAAGTTTCGTAACCTTATGCAAAAAAAACATGTGATTCCAGCAGTACGCAGTACGGAATGCTGTACCAAAGTTGTGAGAGCCACGTCCTGTTTAAGGTCCTTCAGTTCGGATCTGGAAAAACACTGAAATTGAAGACCTGATGGGGACACGTGCTCTCAAAGCCAGATTTTCAAAGTAGAACTAGGTGGCTCAGTGTGGTGGCTGGGGACACTGTACTGTGGAAGGAGCAGTCCTTCAGATGAAATGATAAACTGAAATTCTGACTGCCTAAGTGATCGATAATTACAGATCCCAGGCTCCTGATGGTAAGATTATGGGTGTTGAAACCCAGTTTTTTTTTAGCAAACTCCACCTCGTCATCATCATCATCATCAGTAGTATCTATGTTGTTTTGATTACTCCCTGTGAGTTCAGGAAGGTGATTTTCCTGGTTGCTGCTCGACGACCTCGCACTTGGAAAAAAACGGTTCCATAATCCCACTAAACTTGAACCATAGCAGCAAAACAGGGAGTGATGTACAATCCTTCTAGCAGTTACTGGAGCTATCTGTAGCATTTTTACCTCAGATCTTTGCCCATTCCTCTGAGCTCCCCAAGTGTGAGCCTTTGACTTTTTTATAATACCATTTCAAACAAGCTGACTTGGAGAAGAAACCACTTGATAAAACTGCCGAGCAGCTACAGATCTTCTCCTACGAAATCATCTATGAATCCATCTGAAATTTTAGCAGTTTCTCTTCCCATTAGTGATCCAGAATACAACCCGAATCATGGATGCTAAGCTGATTGTTGTAGAGCAGTGCTAGCGACACACCTGTATGAAGGAAAGGCCACCAGTTTGGAATGACAGCATGATAAACTGATCATGATAAACTGATAAACTGATCAGAGAATGGCCAAGTCAGACCTGGGTCAATTGTCCTATGGTTGCGACAATCAGACAGAGTTCAGCAGCATTGTGGGTTCAAAAGGCTTTTGAGGTACATCAGCCCCATTTCTCACATTGCTTCTAGGGGGAAATGCACTCTGGGTTCCTAGAAGCCTGCTTACACATGAAATGTGAACACAAGCCCTTTATAATTCGGTACTTCCTGTACTCACATAACCTTGGCCACAGAGAGCTGTGATAGCTTGCATTATATCATATTGTATCAAGAGCCTTTTACTGCCACTTTACTGATGCTTTCCTGCTACTTTACTCTGACTCCCCCTTGACCCTTGATTGGAAGAAGCGGTTAGAAAATAATATCAAGAGTGTTTAGAAATACGGCAACTGTACGCAGTTGATTTATGGACAAGTTATTCAATATCACATCTCAATATCATTACTGTAACTGGTTTCCATAGAGCAGTGGTTCGCAGTCCTGGTCCTGGTGCCCCCCCCCCCAACACACACACACACACACACACACACACACACACACCTGCTGGGTTTCTTTCCTTTCCCCCTTTAATTAGATAATTGAAGCCTTGAGCTAAGAAGTTGCTTCAGTGGAATATTTGCATAGTAGTTCTAGTCACAAGTTTGGGATTTAATTTACTTACAAAATACAACGGTTTAAGCTCCAACATGTTGTACTTCTGGGAACAAACAAAGACAATGAAGGGGTTTTGATTGTAGAACTGAGGGCTCTGCTGGAACAAAAACCAACAGGTACTTCTCTTGTGCCAGAGTTCAGCTTGTCGGGAAATGAACAGGACCGATGTGGACTGGATCTTGTATTCCAGTGTTGCTGTTCTCAACCATTTCCTAAAAACCAAGGAAAATATGTTTCCTGCTTAGGCAGGATGAAACTACCTGCTTCAACAAAAAAGTGGCTTGATTGTTATTGAAGAGCAGGTATAAGCAGGTTGATCAACTTGGGCCAGATAGCAGTGAATCGTGGAATGCAATGATACTAACTAAACATATTTTCCAGCACACCTTGCTAGCGTGCAGTAAGATATTGGCAGTACAGTATGTTGATGTTCTGCTTGAGTGGCGGTGCAGCGCTCCAGTGCCTCTGTTACGCTCGTATGTCTGCGTTCTCCCCCACAGCTCACACTGCACTCCAGCACCCCTGATTTCACAGAGCCCTGGAGTCAGCGCTCGTTCAGAAGGCGACTGGCAGCAGTGTAGCCCGATGACAGAGGTAGTGAGAAATCCATCTCGGGTTCAGACACTGTTGTGTGTGTTTATCTGGATACACTCTCTCGACATCTAAAACAGGGGTTCCCAGTCTTGGCCCTGGTGACCCACATACCTGTTGGTTATTGCTCCAGCAGAGCCCACAGTGACACAATCAAACCCTTCATTGACTTAAGGTTAATTTGAACTGTTTGCTCCCAGCTCTTACACATGTTGGAGCTCTGACCTTCGTATTTTGTAAATTAAATAAAATCCCAAACTTGTGACCAGAAACAAAATGAAGACATTCCAACAAAGCAACTTCTTAGGTCGATTAAATCTCCGATTATTTCATGAAGGTGGGCTGGACTGAAACCCAGGAACAGGATTGGGAACTAGTAATCCAAGCCCTGTTCTTGTACTTTCCCAGATATGTCAGCCACCGGATTTATAGGTGTAAAGGCTCCAGATCTGAACCTTGAAATGATTTCCACCAGTCTAGCGCAGTGAAACACAGTGCTCGCTCGGCAAACTATTGCAAAACCCTTGGATCCCATAATATAGTCAGTACAAAGTGCAGTAAGAAACAACTAACTTGTAGAGGAAGACTGTGGCAGATGACCACCTCCAGAGGAACAGAAGCCACCAGGAAACGAGAAGGATGGCGTTGTTTCAGCCAGTCAATTTAATTGATCTGGCTGACACTTGGTTTTTGGATCCCTTGAGTGCTGATCACTTCAGTGAGACACAGACACAGCTGGTAGAGTCTGTGACTGGCTCACAGGTGGATCTGCTGCAGATCTAAAGTGATCGGCCCAGGTCAGGACTGAAGAGAAGGCTGGCGGACTCAGAGACACGCCGACACTGACTGGGCAACAGACCCACAGAGAAACACACAGGTGCGCAGGCAGACAGGTGCGCACACACACACTGACAGACAAGTGAGAGATAAACCGCAGCCTACCTGTCACTGACAGCAGCAGAGTCAGCAGGGAGAGTAGTTGGCCCCGCAGTGCCATGGCTTACAATGGGACCTGCCTCCACTGTCCCCTGCTTTTATCCCTGCCTGTCACCTATCACCTGCCTGACACACTCCACCCTCCCTCTTCTCACCCTCCCCTTCTCTACTGCTCTCTTTCAAACTTCCTTACTGAGGCTCGAAGAAGATCCAGATTCTATTGATCTCCCACTTCTCACTACTCACCCAGTCAGTGTGTTTGTAATAAACACAGAGAATCCATCCTTCATAAACACACACAAGAAGACAAGAGACACAGTGAGAGAGGAGATAACAGAGAATCTATTAGTAATAAACACACACAACGGGACAGGAGACACAGTGAGAGAGAGGAGATCACAGAGAATCTATTAGTAATAAACACACACTACAGGACAGGAGACACAGTGAGAGAGGAGATAACAGAGAATCTATTAGTAATAAACACACATGACAGGACAGGAGACACAGGGAGAGTGGAGACAACAGATACAAACAGGGCTCACACTACTGGTGTAGCTCAAAGTAACAATTCCTCTGTCAGCCCCTTTTTATTTTTAAATAAGTTTCGCTTTTTTTAAGTCCTGATGCACACCATCATTCATCAAGAGCTTGTCAGAGACACACGGCTTTTTAAATGTGAGTTATGCCTTTAGCAGTAGTTTAACTTTCACAAGAGAAACTGAGATTAAAAGTCCCATTGTTTCTGCAGTGAGTGTATGCTGTCCCACCAGTGAAGTGACAAACATTTTCCGTACTAATTCCATTCTATTGCATTGTCTTGTATTATCTAATTCTGAGAAAGGGCAGGTTTTTATTTTTTTTTTCTTTAGTTCCTGGTACACCTGTATCTTTTTCTACAGAGTTTCCTGCCAAGCCCCAGTCCTGCAGGTTTGAGGGGTCACCATTAAATCCCCAGTTTTGAATGGTATGGTACAATTCCCATTGTGATCCATTAGATAGGTGATTTGTTCAATTCAATAACTGAGAGATCATTTCTCATGAATAAAGGCGTCTAAGAATCAGGTGCTTTGTGAATGTTCATTGAGTTTTTTTAAGAACAATCATTTTTGGCTCAACCTCACTTTGTAAAGGGGGGAGCCTCCTGATTGTGGGATAAGGAGGCTGGGACCCCCATTTAGAGAGGAGTGGGACCCAGGGTAACTGCACAGGGGAAATTGGGGTGCAGGAAGGATGATGGAGAATGGAAGTAAGGACTACTGATCTGTGCCTTAGGTGTTCAGTAAACAGCCTCTATTGCTACAGTTAATGATTTTAACATGGGATATTAATATGGAATGTTGTAACTGATAGCTGACAATAAATATAAAAGAAGCATAACGTCTCTGAAAGTTATAAACCTGGAGCTAAAAATAAAAAAAAGGTTTTCCAACTTCATCATAAACTTCTGCATCAAAGTCAGTCTTTAACTTGGTCTCTTACTGTGGATATATACTCAAAAAGAAGGTTTTGAATATAGATTTGGAAAAGTTTTGATGTGCTCATCCTAAATATATTAAGTTTATATACTTTATTAAAAAGCTATAACCTTTTTCTATGAATACTTTTCATTATTGTAAAAAAAGCTGTAGCACTTTTAAAAACCAGTTAATAAGGAATATTAATAAGGAATCATGAAACTAAAGAAATTTTGGTAGCTTAAAAAATAAAAATAGTTTCTGAACGTCATTAAAAATATTAATTTATGGATCTAAATGTAACATATTTACATAGCTGGTAGTAGTTTCTTCTGAAACATCTGCATTGATTTCTTTAACTTGTTCTCTTGTGGTTATTTTGGAAATATTTGGACATCTGTTTTAACTACATTACTGAGTGACACTTGGGTACAGTAGAGTAAGCGTGTGTCTATCACTAAGAATGTCCCAGGTTCGATTCCCGGTCAGGACACAAATTTTAATCTTAACAAATGAAGACTCGTTCTCAAAAAATAAAATAGTATATAATATGTACACTATACAAGATAAGATCACTTTATTGGCCATATACAATCTCTTGTATGAGGAATATGTCTTCTCACATACCCCAGGTTACTCTCCATGAGACACACAGACAGGGACAGAAGCTGGGGGTCAGAGAGCAGGGTCCGCTGTTTATACAGCACCCCTGGAGCAGCTGGGGTTAAGGGCCTCGCTCAGGAGCTCAACGGAGTAGGATTCCTCTGCTGGCCACGGGATTTGAACTGGCAACCTTCCAGCCACAGGCACAGCGCCACCGCTCCGCCCCAATTGATGTTGACAGTTTAATTATTTTCATATATCACATCTTATTAGAAGTAATATTAATAAATTAATAACATGAATAAACATGAATGAGTCAGCAAAAGACAATACTGTCCATGGTGGGAGTAAAAGCCTGTTTACAACAAGCCTTAAATTAAAGACCTCTAGAACCAAAGTATAATAACATCTCTGAACATTATCAACAATATTATTTTTAAAAATGATACTCATTTCAAATTGCTTGTATTTTATACATCTAGCACCTGGTTGCAATTTTAGAAACCTTAGTTTCTTTTATTTATACGCATCTTTGTGCGGCCTTTTTTCACATAAGCATAAGCATTCCCCTTATGCATGTGCTGTCTTGATGTTAGTGTTAGTTTTACAATAAATCAAATACGATTTTTTTTTTATTCCTGGAATAGTTTGTCTTACATATTGTTAAGTCACACTGTTAGACTATGTACTGCAATGAGGAGTGGGGGTGTAAACGTAACAGTGTGTGATGTGATGTAGTTTTAAAACACCTAAATCAAATACGAGAACAAAGGGTATGATTCACAATATGCCACATGAACCCATATCCACAGATACACCGAAACAGTAACGTACACATCAGTGAACTGCAGTGTGCTTGGTATACTATATAAATATACTGCATATACAGTTTGAGACCACGATCATTTTAAAGCCACTACAGTGCAGTATGTGTAAAATATATTTTCATAATCAAAAGTAAAATAGTTTCCTGTTTACTTGTTGATGAAATTTGGAAATACTTTGTACCACAGACCTGATATAATAATATCAAGGTCCAGAAATAGTTGGTTCAAATTTTGGTGATGAAAAAACCCATCACCTCATGAGGGACTAAAGCTTTCATGCTGATTTCTGGGTAAAAAAATCAGTGAATCTCTAAGATGAAGATTACAGGGTTCCAGAAACGTCGACACTACATTAATTAATTGCTTCCGTTTTTATTTTCTCTCAGGGCAATACCAGCTTTAAAATATGTATTTCCTGCTCTGCCAATCTGAGTACTCTTGCTAAAATCACAGGTGCTTTCTCTTAATTACAACCTTTAATGTGTCACTGTCACTCCCAAATGCAGTTTCAGGGCCTTCACCCGAAAGCCATTCCACTGCCTGTGGAGATACTGCAGAGTTAAAGGTCCTGCCACTATTGTGTTATTATTCTGTTATCTCTCTATCTCTATGTCTCCTCTTCTGTCGTGTGTTGATTGCTGAGGGATTCTCTGTTGTCTCCTTTATCTTTTTGCCTATATTTGAAGTGATTTTAAAGATTTAAGATGGTCATTTTTTTAAGTCAAACTCATCTTAACATAAGAAGTTTGAGCCTGTGACTTTAAAAAGAAAAAAGCAGAAAAAACATTAGGACACAAATCAATTACAGGTAGAGGCAAATATAAAATAAAATGACAAGAGGAACTGGAGTGTTCTGAGCTACTAACACACTCACAAACACAGAAAGTGTGTTTTGTGGGCATTGGCTCTGTGGCTAAGGATCTGCGCCTGTAGCTGGAAGATTGCTGGTTCAAATCCAGTTGCCAGCAGAAGAATCCTACTCCGTTGGGCCCCTGAGCAAGGCTCTTAACCCCAGCTGCTCCAGGGGCGCTGTATAAATGGCTGACCCTGCGCTCTGATGCCAAGCTTCTCTCCCTGTCTGTGTGTCTTGTGGAGAGCAAGTTGAGGTATGTGAAAAAGACAAATTCTTAATACAAGAAATTGTATATGGCCAATAAAGTGTTATTAATTTGTCTTACAAGGAACCCACAATCAGCTGAGCGTCACTGGGGTTGGGCCTGGGTATCCTCAACTGGCTGCACAACATTGCCTCCCCATAGCCTCCCAGGGTACCCATGAGTGTTTAGTGTCAGCACTGATAACCACAACCAAGCTATCTCAAGGTAGATATAACCATCCTAACTTTTCATTGAAAGGCTTTTTTGTAGAAAAGTAATTACAGACTACTTTTTCACAAATTGTTATCCCTACTAAAAGATGAAAGCCTTGTGAATGTCCCTTCCTTCCCTGAAACCTAAAGGATACTATCCACTCCTGTCACTGATAAACCTGTTTCTCAACATAAAATGCTCAGAAGTGTGACTCCTTGCATGTCTAACATAACTAATATTTAATATATTAGTATATGTTTCAGAGCACTTCCTCATGCTTGACTTGTGGAAAGAAACAGGTTATGATGTAGGTCAGGGGTGTGTTGAAAGACATATGAGCATACACACGCACACACATGCACACACATGTCCAGTAGCACTTACAAGTTCACTCGTGAGACTGAAGAACCCGCCGCTCAGAAATGCTATTTTCTGCCTTCAGGTTGGCATACCAGAAACACAGGCAGAACAAACTCCTTCTGAGAATATATACGCCCCTACCAGTGACAAACCTGTTTCTCAACATAAAGCTCTCAGAAATGTGACTTGCATGTCTCTCCTTGCATGTCTTACATAACTAAATGTATATATTTCAGAGCACTTCCTCCTGCTTGACTTGTGGAAAGAAACAGGTTATGATGTAGGTCGGGGGAGTACTGATGAACATATGGGCATACACACATGCACACACACATCCAATAGCACTTACAAATTCACTCGTGAGTCTGAAGAATCCTCCACTCAGAAATTTCTGCCTCCAGGTGGCGTACCAGAAACACAGACAGAACAAACTCCTTCTGAAAGTACATAGAGACAGTGGTGCACTTTCTTCTGCACTGTGGCAGATATTCTGATATTCTGGGATTAGAGAAACATTCTTCCCTAAATTCAGAAATCTAATC